CAAGGCTTTTTAAATGATTTGTGCAGATGTGCATAAGAACAGATGACTCATGCTTAAGATATAGATACTGTAGCAACAATGTGTCAGAACAATTCAATCTATTCTTGTATAGCCTAAATCACAACTGTAGCTATCTCAACATAGAACAAAGGTGTTCAGTTCTTCAGATAATAGCATTAATACTATACTACATTTTTGTGACCCATATAGCTAATAAATCTCATGAAATATCCAAACACAGATATAACAGGGGTCCATAATACATAATATGGGTCAGGTTCCACAACTTTATAAAGTCGAAAACGAATACGTTTTCTCCAATTAACACATTTTTACAAGATAAGTACAACTAGCTTTATTGTGGTTGACAGTGGTTTGTAGCTTACACTGTCTCCAGTCCACTGCCCGCCACATAAACCACAAATATTCACGGGTATCAACGTGAGGACAGCTGTCAATCAACAGGAGACTGGAGCTGACGGCTGTAGTGCAGCAAATATAGACCTTCTTTGGAAATCCTCTCCTCTAGCGCTCCGAGGTCGGTGAATAGAAAGAGCAGAAAGTAGAAAGTTCTTAAAATCAATGTACTGTGATTATTTATAATTTTAATGCCATCTTGTCTTGTTCAGCACTATGAGTTGTCTTGTGTATGAAATATGCTGTACAAACAAAACTTGCCTTGAGCTGATGCACACAGACCCGAGTAAGGTCAGGTCAGTGTGGGTGTGGGTTATGGGGTCAGTTCTCATTCCCTAAACAAGAATACCCTCTTCATGGCCAGATTAGATCGACTCATTTTGAAGTCAATAGAAGGAAAACAACCAATCATTCTACAGTACATCTGAGTATTTTAGGTATTTCATGACACTTTGAAGCAACTGTGGTTAAAGTTCTAACTCATCGTTCTAACATATGCACAAGCCAGTACTTTTCCACTGCATTTTTTGGTTATCTCAAGGTTGAAGCTGCTGGCACTGTGACAAATGCTGATTGGAGGACTTCATTCCTCCATGCTGTATAACACACTTGCATTCTGTAACGTTCATGTTTGTGTTCATGCTGTCTACCATGACAATAAAACATGTCTTAATTCTGTCTGAATTAAAGACACGATCCCGGCTTGTCATCATCTTCAGTATTTATATCAGTATTCAGTATCCACGAAGGCATCATATGAGAGCCTCTGACAATGTTCCTAATTAGCACAATAGCATGAATCCCAACATGATTTTTGTGTTGCTTAAAAGAAGAAAATAAATGGGAAAAAGCAAAACAAATGCCTTTAAAATTGCACATTGTCACAAAAAAACACATTCATCTCTACTTTATTACAACAACTAACAACAACAACAAGCAAAGTGGATGCTTCCAGGCCTGAGAATGCGTTCTACCTCCCGCAGTAAGTTTCTGCAGGCTCTGGTGTGCCGCCTGTGCTTGTTTGTGGAATGTTATGTTGAATATCATCTTCTTTTTTTTCATATGCAGCTCTAAAAGTTGAAGGAGACATATAGCTTCGTCTCATCCCACACCCACAGAATTATAAAAAGCCGCAGAAAAGAAGAGGCTCAAACGGTCTGCTGTCTGCTAAATCTTCCAGTCACAGTCCAGCCCACAGCCGTCTGTCGAGACAAAGACACTGGCCAGAGGAGAAAATGACATGCCTTCTATTTTCATCCTAAAATCCTTCTCCGTCTCCGTCTCATGCATATAACCAAAGCGCTGCTCCGGCCTCCCACACGCCAATTTCTCCTCCAAAAATATTCGGCTATGCACTGCACTGTCTGCGGCATTGTGCGGCGCAGATCTGGGCCAGGCTGTCAAAAGGAACAAAGGGGGGGGATGTCGGGGTAATGGGGTTTTGCACATGCAACCCCATTGACCCCCGATTAACCCCGGAGACAAGCATTCCCCCCCACTCTTGCACATGTGCTATATCAGGAACGGACACACAAGAGGAACTGATAAGGCTGCGGAGAAGACAAAGAGGAGCTGACGGGACGGAGGTTTCGCATGAGGAAAGTGATGGTGGAGAGTAGACTGTATATAACTGAGGTAGGACAAAAGGAAATCGCAACACAAAACATTCAGAATGAAACACAAAAGATGTAGGACAGCGCAAGTTTCGAATGTTGTTGGACTTTCAAAGCACAGAGTGAGTGAAGAGAGAAAGAGAGAGAGGTGTAGGGTTAGTGAGTGTTTTGGGCCTATGTCTCATGCTTTTTGTTGAAGTGTACTGCAGGGTAATGCTTCTTGTTTTTGTGTTGTATTGTAGTGTGCATCTAATCAATAAATACATAAATAAAATACAAGCTGCTTTAAGCTATAAATCATGCTTTTCAAAGATTGTTGAAAATAAAATTGGTGGGATGTGGGCTTTGTCTCAAGATTCTAACTTTAATCCAAATCTCACCTGGATTGAGCTGGTGCAAGGAGCAGGCTGTTTAGGTATTGTAGGTTGCCATAACAACCTCGTTATACCCTACTATAACAGGGCACCTTACCCCGACCTCAGCCGTCAGTATATCATTTATGAAGAGTGCTTAGACAATTGCAACGATTACATTTTGTGATTTGAGTATGTGGGTATTATTTATCCAGCCATCCATTTTCTTCCGCTTCATCCACTTCCGGGTCACAGGTGGCAGCAGTCTAAGCAGAGACACCTAGAAACCTCATCTGGCTCCTAATAGGTGGTTATAATGGTTTTCTATATTATTAGCAATATATTTCTTGTTGTATATTAGGAACCAACTGTAAGATTTGACAATTTGCAAACTTTTTTTTATTTTTTATTTGTTTACTTCATTCAGTCCTGGTTCAAAAAATAGTTTCGTAAACATTTCAGGGTCATGCAACTCTACAAAATCTGCTCTATTGTGCTGCATGGTGGGCATTATCTTCGGTCAAAGCTTGTATTTATTTATTTATCTGTCGTTTTTATTCAGCGGTCCAACGGCTGAGTGGCACAGAACCCTCTTTGTTTTGGGGACAACAGTCGAGCGCTGAATTATGGCCTTGATAAATGACACGCAGACCTACTTTTATTCTCTCTGGGTTTGGCCCGCAACCACACTACACACGACACGCATCAACACGTTTTGGAAAACACATCAAAACATAGACAATGTTACAAGTTGTGAACTGTGAGGGCTACATTTTCAACCATATGTTTATCTTTTTATGGAGGGACTTCATGTAGATTATATTGCTCTGGACATTCCCCAATAAGGCCTCAGACTCTTCAAGGCAAACATGCATATGGTCTGTGCACAGCTGACCCCACTCACAGAGAGAATCTAGTTACCAAGGGGTTTTTGTTGCCCTTATAACACTGGACCAACAACACTGTCCAAACAAAACCATGTTGTTAAGAAGTTATTTTTTAATCCAAGAAACTCTTAATGATTTATACAAGTTTCAGATCAGTTTAAGATAGACAGATACTTCATTGATCCCCATAGGAGAAATTCAGAAGTCCAGTAGCAGCAAATAAATTAAAAAAAAAAAAAAAAAAAATTCATTCTAAAAAGCTAACAGAATGAATATCAGTCCTCAAAGTTATGGCAAATTTTAGGAACAAGATTAAGATTAAGAAAAGAGATCCTTTATGCGTCCTACGGTGGGGGAAATGTCAATGATGCATCACAAGTTACAGACAGTAGGAATGAGGAGCACACAGCACAAGATAAACGAATAATAACTATCCTAAAATAAAAAAAATAAAAAAAAATCTAACCAAAGAAGCAGGACAGAAGTCTAAAATCTACAACTTTAGCTCTACTAAGAACTACTAAAGAAGAACCAGGAACTAAAAGTAATCTTTCAACAGTGTCTGAATCTTTTTTATTTTCAACAACCATGAAAAGATCCTATAGTTCAGGGGTGAGTAAGCGGAGAAAAAAAGTCAACGGCAGAATTCAAGAGGTCCCGAGCTTTACAATGAGGTATGGGCTGAGCTGACCTAAAATACCACTTCATGATAGAAAGGCAGAAAATGACACAGAGGGCCGCAATTTGGCCACGGGCTTTAGTTTGGACACACTTCAGATCATATGCATTCATGAACAAGCAGTTTGCGCACCAGACAGTTCCCTAGTGCCTCTTTAAGTGGAGAAGAACCAAAACAAGCAAACACTAGTCCATTGTCCACTACTTAATAAATCACTTGGCCTTTAAACAGCTCAAACCCTCACCTCTGACTTCTCCATGAGGCAGGTCTAAAGCAAAGCACATGTTGAGGAACACACTGAAACGCTTACTACACTGTCCTGGGGCGGCCTGGTGCTGGTGCTGGGGGGGAAGGGGGGCTTTGCTTTATGAGCCCAGGAGGGGGGTCCAGAGGTGTGAAAGCGTGGACAGCCTTAGGCTGAGTTTACACGGAGACAATGTGGCAGTAAAACGGTATAGTTGGATGTCGGTTGCTACCAACCGTTCATACGAAGACTGTGTTCCAGGGGGGTGAAAACGTAAGAGTTCAGATCCAGCCTGCAGAGTGGGACAACTCAGAAACGCTGCACAGCGGGGAGCTTCTTCACACCCGCGAGAGGGGAAAGGTGTGAAATCCCCCTCTGCTCTGACCCCCACCTCCGCGCTGCTCCCCGCACGTAAATTTGGACATGCGCAGTAGCGGAGAACAAACATCAACAATAATGGCGCCGCGCGCACTAACTAGCTTCGTGGGCTTCCAGCGCGGCACAGAGGATAACTCTACTCCTTCGTTCGTCCAAACGAGAAGCTCTAGGTTCAGTTCCCATGTTCACAGCTGCTGTTAAAATGCAGAATGATGTTGGTGCGTTCTGAGGGTCTGGCACAGGAAGTGAGTATACTGCCGAGAGGGGGGTTGGGCACGGCAGTTTATCTGCCCACTACTGGCCGGGCGCTAGAACTACATCTTTTTTCAACCTCATGTGAACGCTGAGAAATTTGCATTAGGAGCCAGGTCGTTTCTGTTAATAGCCTGGAAACGTCTGCGCAGCGTCTCAGTATAAACAGGGCCTTACCTTCTTGGACTCGGGGAAGATGTGACTGGTCGATCTCCAGCTGCAGCTCTGCCATGGTCGTGGTGCGGTCAGTGCATCATGATGAATCAAAGCACAGATAGCTAAAGAAAAAAAAAAAGAAATTAAAAGATTAGGGATATTATTGTTATAGTTAGGATTTTTTTTGCGATTAAACGTTTGAGAGGTACAGTTAAAAGAAAATTACAATAATAATTTAAAATTTGCCTTGGACCAAGTTGGCATAAGAAAAAGAAAGCCATGTCATGGGACCAACTTTATTACATCCAAATGCACAACACTTTGAGATTTTGGTCAATTACTATATTTTTACTGTCACATACTATTTCTGAGTTGACCGGAAAACAATTAAACATGGGATACATAACGTTCATACCAAAACAAATGGACTAAGTAGTCAAATTAATCTAAATAGTTCCTCGCTCTCAAAATTAGGGATGCCCCGATGCAGCTTTTCCTAGTCTGATACCGACCCCGATATTTTGGCTTAAATATCGGTCGATACGAGATATGAACCGATACCAGTGAAGGCCCGGCACATACCAGGTTTCTCCCCTCAAATCTTAGCTCACTTATTTCTAATCGGATCAGTCGTGTTTTAAACTAGCTGTTGATCCTGCAAATAATGACAGAACCTGAGTAGAAGTTAAACCTACTGTGTAAGTGGCATGCTGGGTGAATACTAGACAGTACACAGACTTAATCAAAATAAAACCCTACTCAAGAAATCATCACTAGTTTTAACGTTGTCATTTTGGCCTCTGTCACACTTTTAGGGCAGCTTTTTCAGACATAATAAATAGGAAAAAAATACAGAATCAAGCTCTCAGCCCAAAGTATCAAACAATGACGAACATGGCCCTTACAAGTACATTTTTACAAGTATGCAAAATAAAACATGTCTTCTCTAAAAATGAACACAGTTTGTGGCCTAATTAGTTCACAACATTTATAATTTTGCAACACAAACAAACAGGCATTATTGAGGACAAAAACATAAGTCAGGTACCCCAGCTTTAACCTAACAACATTACCATTATCAGAGTAAGAAGAGACCCAGGAGATACGATTATGGGATTGTTGGAAAACACAGGGAGTAGATGTATAGAATAGTATGCCAAAAAACAGCATTGATGTTTATTATTTAGTCAGATCAGTTTTGCAGCCTTACCTTCCTCTCGCACACCACAGCAGCTCAACAAGTCATGACAGTAGCAACACGATGTCAACTTTTTCCCAACGCAAACAGGGACTTTTCGTCTTTCTTTCCCTTAAAACGCCTCTGCTTTCATCCACAATGTCGGGGGAAACGCACGGATACAGGTTGCATAAACCAGGAAAGGTGTGCAGCGGTTGCTTTCGGTCAAACAAAGCCCAGAGGAGGTGAAGGGAAGCCCGGGTGGACAAACTTCGCCCACTGCCTGCGCCTCTTCACTGCTCCTGTGTGCTGTGTGTGTGTGCGTGTGTGTGTGTGTGTGTGTGTGTGTGTGTGGGTGAGACGCGTTCAAGGAACCTCTCCACAAACTATGCTCCACTAACTTTTTTACGCCAGCCTATAATTATTCTACAGTTCTGTCTACTTTAAAACTGTGTTGTAATGACTGGTTGTATTGTGTCGGGACAAAGGTGAAGGAGATTGAGGAGTTGATAGGTTGTGTTAATTATTGGATGATTAGAAGTGTTTTGTCCCAAGTTTGTGAATGCCTCCTTTGACTGCCCGAATGTGTCTTTGTCAAACCAGCTGTTATTACGATAATGAAAGGAACTAACGCACGTGCTGCAGAATGGACAGTATGGGAAGTTACTAATAGAGTAGTCTCTAACTTAAAGCTGGGGTATCTAACTTGTTGTTCTTAAATAATACGTTTTGTTTCTCTCAAAATAAAGCATCTTATTATAGTAAACACAGTACTTAGTGAGACTGTGAGTCACTATCTCAGGGATGAGAGGTGAATGCCTTTCCCCCCCTTTTCTGTCTGAAAAAGCTGATGTGACAGATGCCAGGTGATAGAACCAAACAGTTTTCATGTAGTTTAACTGATTTCATTACAGATATTTTTGGGGAAATTTGGGAAAATGATTAACCCCATCTTTAATTATTGTTATTATTTTATCAGGATTGACTGTCTATAGGCCGACGCTGATACCAATCAAATGCAAACAAGAATACATGGGCTTGGAAGCTTTGATTTTTGTTGTTGGTTTGTTCATGTGTTTAATCTAGTGACTGATGTAGTCTACTGGTCATCGGGATTTATTTGTCTGTGTGTGGAATACCAAAATAATGGAGTTAATTTTCCAAGTATCCTGATATCCTAGCGGTGTTTAGGAGTAATGCTGCCCTCTGCTGATGCTGTTCCACCAGTCGGACCTGTCAGATCACATTCAGATCCTGAACAATGGCCAACATGCAAACCTCACTCAGCTCTTTCACTGTGCTGTCGTGAAAACATGCTCAGGGCATGATATTAGAATAATAGGACCTCCAGAATCAGGACACTATCTATACAGTGACCTGGCTTCCCACAAATCTTCCTGGTTAACATATTGATTTCAGCTGTCCTCCATCTCTTACAGTGTCCCATCTTTTTCCATTCAAATCCTACAATCCTAGTCCCAGAAATGTGAAAACCTCATTAACAAAAAAACAAAAAAAATCTTGCTTCATCTTTAACTCTGTGGACTGTGGGCTGTGAGCTTCCTGTTCTGGAGGTTCTATATAAATCCAGACTTTCAAACAAAGCTCTTAGGATTGTTAATGACTCTTCTGGCCACCCTGGGAAAGCCATGTTCCAGCTTCTTCCCTCTGGCAGAAGATATCGTTCTCTGAGATGCAGGACATCTCGACATGCTAACAGCTTCTTCCCACAATCAGTCTGAACAGCACTTTAATATTCTTGCACCTGTATTGAAACTGTTTTAGTCAAATCGTTTTTCTCAGTGACAATTGTTCACTGTTTTATTTATTTCTGTACTTTTAATGTTGTGTTATGTCTGTATTTGTCTGTGCACACTGGTGACTTTTGCTAATGTATTCCAGTGTGGTTTTGTTTTTACTGCAAACGGCAAATAAACAGAATCTGAATCTGAAACTACCTGAACTAAATGAACCATAAAATACATTAACATTTACAATCAGGCAAATTTATTGTATACAGTCACACACATTTACTAAAAAGGAACATTACTTTACATAAACAAAAATAGCTGTCTAGTAATACAAAAACACAATTTGGACAGAATTTCTAGCTGCAGCCAGGGGCCAGAGGGAGTCCGGTTTGGGGACCGCAAGATTTCCTTTCTGCTGTTTGTAGGCAATGTTAACTCAGTAAGTAATCTTGATTTATACAGCATCTTTCACAGACCAGAGTTTCAAAGTGTTTTACCCATGTTGAAGGTCCTGGTTTTTCATGTTGGCTCCAACAAACCACCTCCAAATCTGAGGCCATGGGGCTCGACCAGAAAAAGGTGCCTGGCCCTCTCCAGGTCCAGAGGTCCTTCCTCCAGTGGAGGAGTTCAAGTATCTCGGGTCTCACGAGTGAGTCAAGGATGGAGCGTGAGATTGACGGACAGATTGGTGCAGCGTGTGCAGTTCGAGCTGTATCAAATTGTTGTGGTGAAGAGGGAGCTTAGTCCAAAGGCAAAGCTCTTGATTTACCAGGTAATCTATCTATGTTCCCCCCCTCACCTCTGGCCATGAGCTTTTGGTAATGACCGAAAAGATAATATCATGGATACAAACATGAGAAGAAGCTTGGAAGAGAGCCGCTGCTTCTACGCGTCAAGAGTAGCCAGTTAAGTCGGTTCAGTCATCTGTTTGGGATGCCAACGTTCATGTCCCACTGGGAAGAGACCCCGGCGAAGACCCAGGACACGTCGGACAATGACAATGTCTCTCAGCTGGCCTGGGAACACACCAGGATTCCCCCGGATGAGCTGGAGAAGGTGTGTGTGGATACATTTAAGTCTGTTCATCTCTGCTTAGGCGGCTGCTGAGGATAAAGTGGAAGAAAATGATAAATATAGTAAAACACTTGGCCTTTTTGGAGAACTCACTTCTGGAACGGTTGCATGAGTAACTGTGTGGACTGTTGAAGTAGGTCAAGAGTACTGTAAAGACGAGAAGTTAAATCCCCATTAGAGTGGGACCAAAGGGACAGAAACCCTGGAGACATTGTGACAGTGCCCGTCCTAATCCAGTTCAGTCCTGTGTCTGGAAGCTTAGTCTCTTCCAGTCTTGCTCACATCATTATCATCAACATGATTATCATTTTGCATATTTCATCCTCAGCTGTATTGGCTGCTAATTTCACTTAATTTCCTGTAAAGTGGACCCGTGCTCTCTGATGACTGTGGGTCAGGTGTCATGAAGCATATTTATTTGAGTGGCCTGGAATAAGCTGAGGGATGACAGGACCTGGCCTAATAGACTATATAAATCTTAATAGCTTTTCATGATATACTGCAACACCGAACACAAGCGAGTGTCTGGCCTTCCAACCATAAAATTAAATGTCACTGTTACGTCTGCCGCCTTATTATCATACAAGGAGCCCGTTGACGTCAATATCTAATAAATATACAAATGGAAAAGTGAGCTGGCGCTACCTTGTATGTCTTGACCTCATAAAGTGGCGTTTATTGAACACGAGGAGATTGTAATGTCTACCTCTACATTTTATGCATAAATCAGTGTACTTATCAAGCAGGGCAAAATTAACTACAAAACTAAATGAATGCCACAAGCGCACACTTTGCCCTCTGAAACAATTCTACCAATCAAATGTACAAGCAATGACGCCAGTTTTTAGCTCTGCCTGGTCCTATTCAAGTCAATTTAAATGGGTTAAATAAATGTTGGTATAAAAAAACATAATTTGACTGACCACCTGCTCCCCTTACATGTCTAACGTCAAAACACTAGGTCCAATTCCATTTACCAAGTCGGTGAAAACACTAAATCAAATGAAAAGGATGGTAAAACAACGCAGTGCCCTTGGAGCATGGGCTGCAAGTTGTGTCTTTATGGCCTGCAGTAATTCACTAGTGACTGCATGTAGATTTATGGAATGATGGACCACTGCGGGTCTTGTACAGTGGAGTACAGTGGGAGGGGTGCGAAAGGTTGAAGAAGATATAAAGCGGTTTGAATGGACAGAGACGGGACCAGTGCTTGTGTGATCCAGAGGACAGTCACCCAGTTCCCACTCCTCAAAAGGCATGTACCATCTCCTATCTGGGGCCTTCCTGCTCGTGGCCGCTGGTTCGCTGTTGGCACATCCCATCACAGACTCCGCCGAGATGCCTTTTCCAGGACCAGGTAAGAATCAAACTTGAAGAGCGGTGAGTGACATTATAGGTCAAAGCAATGAGACACCAATGATATAAAGTGAAAAAAGTGAACCAGGACCAAGCCAGAAATAAGTGGGAGAAACTTGAAGCTTATACAAGGTTAGGTCTGAATCAGTGCTTAACGGCAGGACCAGTTAAAGCTAGGGTACCCAACTTCTTGTTTAATTTAATTTAACACATGTTGAAAGAGTCTTGTAAGTCTCCACCTCTGTTATCAGAATCAGAATCAGAATCATTTTTATTGCCACGTAAGTAACAAACAAAAGTTACCACTTGGAAATTGTTTTGGCAGAGAGCGTGCCACTTTGCCATTTGCGGCGAAGTGGGTAACTATTTGATGCTTTGGGTCCTCTCTTTTTCACTCTTCTGTCTAAAAAAACTGATCTAAAGACGTAAATATGGGAGGCCGCAAATACATGCATGTGAAAACTAGTAATAGAACCACTGTTTTGAGAGCAAAGCAGTAGGATGGATTTGACTTTATCTTTCAATTGTTATGGTTAAAAAATAAGGTCCCCCAGCATTAAGTGAAATATAAGAAAGATTACTTACTACATTTTCATTAACCTTTTTGTTTCACTTAAAGGGGTAGTAGGCTTATCGTGAAAGCAAGACTGATTAAACCAAATAACAAAGAAAGGGCCCAGAATGGTTAAATTAGAGTATCGGTAGATTAAGTGGAAACGAAAACATTCAAACATTTCCTATTGGAGTACTGACCTAAACAATACGCCTTTGTTATTTCCACAAAACCCTTGAAAAACTTTATGCCACAAATAAACAAGGCCTAAAAAGTGAGTTCATATTTCAATATTTAAAATGTCCTTGTTCAACATATAACATACTTCATGGACTCGCAGCTCTCACCACTAAGTGAAAATATCAAGCTGAAGAGTGCTGTTGGTTCAGCTACAAGGTCAGTGTCCGGAGGTGACTGTGAGGAGCCTGTAGAAGGACTGTGTTTAGACAATCTGTTTTTGGAAGTGTACCCCCCACACACTATACAACAACTCCTCACACTAAACACAACTTTAAAAACCAACTCAAAATCTTATTAAAAGCCACATACGGTCTAGAAAAGGAGCAGATAACACGACAAACATGTATGAGCCTACCCATACTGTGCAGCCTTTGTACGTCACATGGTCTTATATGTGCTATAGCTACTTATTTACAACTTAAAAAAATATCTGCACTAAAAAATATCCCCTGTAATAAGCACCACCAGTATTATTTGCTTGAGGAGAATAGTTCGACCAATAGTGAGGAGCCTAAGTTGTCTATCAAGGATTTGAATTCATTGCGTCCAATCAGGAAGCTTTGAGGATGAATTCTCTGTATCTTCACAATTTCAAAAGTAACTCGCCTTCACCTGAACGTCCACTGTCTCTGTTCAGATATATCAATAAATGCATAAATATGAAAGCGGTGAATGAATGGTTGATGTTTCCTCAGCGTCGGTAGAAGAGCACCAGCTGGGACCTCTGGAGGATCTGTCTCTGTCCGAGGCTCAGGACGCTGCAGTGGTCCTCAGACTGGCCACTCTGCTCCCTGTGGACATCAACAGAGACGGTGAGACACGTCCACGTCACCTAGGCAACCGCAGAACAAGCCACTTTGGTTATTGGATACCCGTTGATTATATTCAAGATTGTATGGATCACTGAGTTATGACTGGGCCGTCCAGAAACAAAGACAATTTATTGGAAGTGTCTTATGGTGATTCACAGCTTGGTTACATGCAGTTTAAAGCTAGGGTACACAACTTTCAAAACCCGAACAGTTTGGATCTTTCACTAGTTTTCATCAGTATGTGTTTTAGGCCTCAGTCACATCTTTAGATCAGCTTTTCAGGCAGGAAAGGTAAAAAGAGAGGACCACCCTCACTCATCAGCTGTCAACACAAATAGTGGCTCACAGGGTTTTGTTGGGGTCTGATTCACGGCATTTTAGTTTTACATGATTCTTGGGACGTGCAAAAGGATAGGTACAACAAAAATAGGGACATGTTTTGTGGGGAGTTCTAAAGGGATTCAGACTCAGCTCTATCGAAACTCTCCGACTTTGGCGACAAAAAGGAAACAAGCAGAACTCATCGTATGTCAATAAGTCATTTATAGAGAATACTTTGGATTTGGTCTTAAAGCAACCACATGTTCTGGTGATTTTAATTCATATCTACATTTATCTATTATAGGTCTTCCTACATTATACTCCAACATTTGTACATCATTTTCACCTATTCTGAACAAAGTTTAAACTCCGAGTTATGATCCAAATATTAATGTTTACAAATTTCAAGCAGATTATCCAATCAGAGAGCTTTTATTGTGAAATTGTGTTGGTTTTAAACAACAAAATTCACACCACACCAAAAATAATGATCCCAGCAGGAGGATTGCATCAGTAACCAGTATGTATGTATGTATTAGACCAAGAGTGCACACTACAGACTGTCCCTTCATACAACAAGATTTGCCAATGGGACGAGCTTAAGTGTCTTGTTTTATAGTGACAAGAACATTAAAAAAAAAAAATCCCTGATGGAAAGATAAATAAATTGTAAATTTGGGTAAGACTCATCTGCTTGGCTCATTGGCAAATTTTGTTAAAGACAGGTTTTGTTTTAAGAAGATTGTTTAATGTACTCAGTTCAAGCATGTATCAACTGTTCAGTGTAGTTCAGTGTAGTTCAGTGTAGTTCATACTGTATTCTGTGTCTCAGTTTGTCTTGTGCTCTGCTTTCACTTCACACATGTCTGAATAATTGAGTTTTGTAATGGCAGATCTGAGAACAACAGGGCTGCTTCCTCGGGCGCTGACACGAGAAGTGAGCTGTTTTCCCATGACTTTGTGCTTGTATCGCTCTGACATTTCTCTCTGACACTCACCATGTGCCCACAGGCCGCGGTCTTCAGTCCACTGAGCCGTGTTCTGGGCCTTCGGAAACACTTCAGGAAGAGAGCGGGCACCGACTGCTTTTGGAAATATTGTGTCTAACATTTCAAAACAAGACTAAAAATGACAATGTATGTTTGGACATGCATGCACAGCTCATCACTTTCTCTCAGAAGTACAATTTAAAACAACTTTTGACTTGTGATTATACTTATGAATAAAATATGCTAAACATTAAGGTGCAATTTTTCTTCTTTCAAAAATCACATAGGAACCGTCATGTCAACTTTTCTCAATTATTTCATTTTTTTTTATTATTTTACAGCAGAAAGAATATAAAGCATTCAGAAAACATCTTCCATATTTTAAGGGCAATTCAAAATGTTTTGCATGGCTTCAGCAGCTGAAATCTCTTTTTTTTATTTTAAACATTTCCATCGAGTCAGTGACGCTTGTACATGCACAACTACAAAAATAAAACTTACAAAGAAGAGAACAGGAAGAAAAAAGGGACAAAAGTATAACACGTTAGGAGAATCCAGAGGAGATGAAGAGAGTTTCTTTAAGAACAGGGGAGGCTTGTGAACGTAAATGAGGTCACATAACGGAGAAAGACAGAGAAAGACAACTATAGAGGAGCGGGAAACAGATCTAAAATCTAGTTCACATGCAAAGTGTCGAGGACCCCACACTTTCTACCAAAGCAGGGCCCGCTTTTCTTTTACGCTGTTTGGAATTGATGAAAACGTGCAGCTTCAGTAAAAGGTGCCATGAGATTGCTGTCAATAAAACTACTGAATGCTCGTCTTGCAATACTGGCATTTGCATAAGAGTGAGTCGACTACATATATCCAATCGTTTGATGCTAGATCTATAGGTCTCCACAAAATAGTTCTTTATTGCTCGGTGTGCAAGTGGAAAATGTTGTACGACTGTTAGTCCTGCTGTGCCTTCCTTTGGGGGAGCTTTGAGAGGGAAAAAAGAAGAGGAGGAAAGGTCTTGTAACGGACGTGCCCTAAGCTAACCTGTCATCTCATTCATAAATGGCAGTAAAAATAAGATTTGCAGGTGAACTTTTCAGATAACTGCGCTCTCGATCTCGGCTCCTCTCGTTTGTCACAGATAAATGAAAGGGCCAAATAACCGGCAGACACTTGTACCCTGACTCAACAATGAAAGAGTGTCAAATCTTTGATATTAATGAGCTATATATAATCACACGTTAGGCTCCACTGGTGTGTGTAATGGTCTGCGGCACAAAGAGGAAATCAGATTAAGCTTTCATTTTGCTGTAAAAGATTGCAATTTAGCACAGGAATTTGACTATGTGTGATCGGGAGCTTGCTATGCAGTCCTGCTCTTTTCCTCCTCCCCGTTTTGGCCGCCTGAGTAAAATACAGAGTGTGTGTGTGTGTGCGTACCTGTCCTTGTGCGTGTGTGTCATCATATGTGTCATAACTGCTCCTCTCTCACTGGCCTCTCCAACTTTGCTTTATTCCAAGCCTGGAGTGGTCTACATATAAATGATGAATAAAAACTGAAAAGGAGGAGTTCAAAGTTAGTTTAAAGTGAATCCTGTCTACTGAGTGATGCTCACTGTATTCTTCAGTCACACGCTCTCTGTCTTTCAGAGTTCTGTGACTCATGTCAAAGCAGCAGTCTTTTTAACAAGTCTATCAGACTACCGATTCTAGGAAAATAAGCATGCTTTAGGTGCACCAAGGTCACCAAGTTAACTATTTTACCCATGCAAGCATAATAGATCTTTCTCCTTTGCCACCATGTTGCTATGCATTCTGACCACGCCATTGAGGAAGAATGCACCAACAAACCCCAGTAGTGGCATTTGTGTCATGTGACTTTAACAAGGCGTTCAGGAAACAGAGGAGCAGAAATATAGGAAATAAAGGTAAGCATGTGAATAAGCTGCAGTGGTGCTGGGTTTAGCTTTTGTCTCTGCGGAGCTGAGTGGATGAGTATTTGCCAGCCTTAGTCACAACCCCATGTGATGCAGATATGAATAGGCACTTTCTACATAACACTCTGGGAGAACCTCTGTGGAACAAATAACATGGTACAATATCAATGAACAAACGCAGGTTTGCAGTGGCACTTGTCTGAATAATCCAATGGCGTCAGTTGGATACAGAATACACTTCCTGGTAGCTCTGCTACAGATATTACATGAATAATGCAGCAGCCAACAGGCACCAAATCAGCAGCTTGTGTACAGTGAGTTACAGTTCATCAAACACAACAGCCTTCACATTAACATGGCACCTGTGCATTTTCTAACAGGAGATTTGAGCTGCTCTGTGATCACCTCCATGTACACTATGCTACACATGTTCTTCATGTTGTTTTTACATTGAATACATAGCATATTCAGGTTTGGCAGCCTTGAACAGGGATATTTTCAAAACACACATTTTAATACTAAGCTTATGGCAAAATAATGTTGATACTGGAGAAAAAAGTGTCTTTCAATAAACAATGAGATGGCTGGTGGTGGCGTCACCGCGGGCAAGGCTGCCTTTACAATCTTTAAGATCATACCACAGTAACAAATGACATTCTATTTGAAATGACAGAAACGTGAAAAGCCCGGACAGTTTTGAAATTCATAATAAACATACTGATGACGATGTGATGTCATGTGACGGCTATATGAAATGTTCTACGCTGTCTGTGTTCCTTTTGTTCTTGTGATCTACGGCTTGGTGTGCTAGTGTGGACTTCACTGATGATTATCTGTTTTGCAAAAATAACTGAATTCTTAAGCTAGTTAGCATTCACTTGGCACCATTGGCAAAAGATTCTTGGTAGCCCAAAATAAAATACAAATAAAAAAAGTAAACAGAAGTTGTTTTAAGATAATCTGCAGACTTTTCCTAACTCTAAATACTGTATTTTATTTCATTTTTAAATATTGCAATAATATCATGCTTTAGCAAAAACGTTCTCCTCAAGAACAATCCAAATAAAATAAAATACTCTAATAGTGAAATAGTTTTCATTTTACAGAGCATAGCCACTACTGCTTTTGTTGTTTTTTCCCCGTTGAGTACTTCTCATGCACATAGCTCATTTAGATCCCAGATATGTACACTATATACAAACAATACAACCATACTTCTGAGGCATTCAAACAAAACTATACAAATATTTTGTTTTTGTCACGTACCAGTTTTTGACCCCTTTTTTTAATGAATAAAATAATATATTTCTAAAATACAATCCCTTTTGGGTAAATGTTTTTTTCTACTTACTTCCAGCCATCTTTATGTACAGAAATCGCTCAATTGTCAAAAATATGGATTTGTCAAACCCCTAGTTTGGGACAAGCTTAGGGACCCCTCAAAGAATCTCTAAGACGTCAAGGCAATGTATGTGATCTCCCCCTCGAGGGCCTCAAGCAGGCCCTCAAGTTTATGTAAAAACAACACTAAAAATTTGCATGACCTTACAACACAAAAAATAGGCAAGTTTTCATCTGGGTTTTAGAAGAGCAATATCCACTGAGTGAACACTAAAGCTGGAAATCCAAAATGAAGTCAGAGGATAGGCTGAAAGACTAGACCATAAGCACACAAGCAGACACTTTCCTTCACAAGAAGTCATGCATATTTTCTTGGAAGTATTTAACAACATAGAGTCTGGAGGTACGGCTCACTAATACACCGATGGGACACATACATTGGACAGCGTGGAACTAATTCAAGTAATCGAGGCTGTTCATGTAAAGCATCTTGAGAAAAAATAGTGGCCCAAACTAAACCTCTCCATCATTTTGAGTGGAAGAACTCCAACTACATTCAATTTGTAGCTCTACCCTGGTGTGGGTAGGCGGCTGGGGACATAAGTGAAGCTAAAGTAAGATTATCTACAGAGGTGGATATGAAGGTGTTTGGTTGATCAAAACATTTTGGTTTGTTTTTCTCAAAATAATCCATTAAAAACATTAATGACAGAATTGGAGCCCAGAGTGTCTTTGTCCCTATCCTCTGAGATCTTCTCTTTTCGTCGCCTCTTCACGCTGCGTTCGCTTCCAATATAATTTCCCCAGAAAAAGAGACAAAAAAATCCATGACAAAAAAGTGCAAAAAATGCAGGAAAGCAAATGTCCAGCATCCCACACATTAACCCTTGGAGTTTAGAGCCTCGTAGAGTCGCCGCTCTCGGTCCAAATGTGAAAAAATGCTGTTGTACGCGTGATATTAGCTGAAACCCTTGATACTGTACGTTTATGAATCGCTGTCCCAACACCTAATTTTCAATTGTTGTCAAATGTCTTGGGTACGAACAAAAATAAAGTCAGGAGAAGGATGTCACATGGCGAGGGGGCTTGTTTGAGGTTTCTCATGTTCCCTGGCCCTTTTCAATTCTTTCACCCTGCAACACAAAAGAAAGACACCAGTGAAAAATACTACAACACAGTGTAGTGCAGCAGCAATAACATCATCACTACATCATCAAGAGGTCTTTTCTGTGGAGAGAATTTATGAGATTTTACATTTCAAAAATAAAACAGGCACTATGCTTTTTTCTGGTTCCTGATCCTGTCTCAATGGGATGTTTCATACAATGGCAAAACCTCCAACAAAATGACAAATTTTGCTGTTGATCACATTTATTATCGAAATGCTGCAGCTCTGTTATGCTATGTGAAATGTGTCTATTACAGCTAGCATAACATCTGTAATGGCTGGCTATAAAGGCTTCAACTATGATGCATCTATGAAAGACTGCTGCACTCACACAAGAGCACGCTTTGCTTCTGTAATGGACTTGAGCACATCAGGTGATGGTGGATGCATTTGGAGCTGTGCTGGTGAATGCTCAGCGAGTTAGACACAATAAGAAAGGACAGGTGTGTGTGTGTGTGCGTTTGTGCGTGTGTGTGCTTCTGTCACGCCGCGCTGATGTCCCTGGAGAAATGAATTCATTAAAGAGCAGAGCCGCAGTGGTCCCAGTTGGTAGAGGCTCCTATTGTTTGTGTTTCCTCTGTGACCTATATGCTCTAACCTACATCTCAGTGCAGAGACAAGCCTGACATACATAGTGTTTACATTAAAAGCTGCTTGCTTTGAGTGTCCTGTTAGCCATTGTTATGTAGCAGAGAGCAGGATACAGGGATTTACATTCAAATAACACAGTCTACATTTGTTAACTTCAGTCTACATTTGTTAACTTCACAGAGTCCCTGGTGTGGTCCAAAGCAAAACTGAACCAGTACAAACTCAGATAGACAGATACTCAGCAGGCCTGTAGCATGCCTAAAGGAAGAGCACCACTCGACATGCAGCAGAAGAATACAAGATCATGAAAAGCCTCCTGTTCTCTGACACTGTTCACACAACAAAGAACTGAAATAATGGACAATATTCCCCAGAAAAAAGACAGATAAGAACAGAAGTGCTGTTAAGTGTAGAAAAGACATTCATCAGCATTTGGTTAGTTTGACAGTTTTGAGCTTTTCAGTCCACCTGTGGCTCCAGTTTGCAGCCTTCATGCAAGCAGGCATCAAGCAACAGTAATGGAAGAGCAGGAGGGGAGAGAGAGCAGAGGAAATGAGCGAGGGTAGCTCAGGAGGAGATAATAGTGTTATTAAAGAGTGTGAGAAGAGAGACAACAGGGAGGAAGGAGCGAGAGGCACGAGGTGCTGAGACTGCACTCACCCGCTTGAACAGTCTATGGTCCATCAAGGGGCTTGGCATAAACAGCAAAACAATACCAGACAGCTATTAGCACAGAGTAGCCACTGTGGGGGAGGGGCAGGTGCAGGTAGGACCAGAACAGTGAAGGAGATGTTGGGGCATGTCTCGGAATCCAAAAGTACACTTATCAACAGCCTGAGGTTTTGCATATAGACTGTATGATGTAAATTAGCAGTGTAATTGTGCTTCAGTTTCTGTTTTCTGTAAGTTTATAGTCTCTACCTGTGACGGCAGCGGCGCAGGAACCTCATGATCTTCCTTGCAGCCTGATCCTGTCTCTTAGTGAGCAAACTGCTTCTACAATCAAACATAGACATGTTATGCTCATTTTCCAAAGTGCAGGGGACACGTTTGATATTGAGCTGAAATGTGTTCTGCGTGTACCTGAGCTTGTGCTGCGCCCGAGCGGCAGCGGCTCCGCGATGGTGGGGCTTGAGTCGGCCACACTCCTTGTAGCTGCGGTAGTATTGCTGAATGAGCACTGCAGCTCTCCTGCTCTGCTGGAACTTCTTTTGTTCATTGTAGCTGCGGAATTTACTCTGGATAAGGATGGCGGCCTGCGTCATCTTCTTATAAAGTGCATACTGCCACAGAGAGAAAAGTAATATTACTTTTCTGCACTGAACACCATACTGCAGGGGTCCTATATCTGGCCACTATCCTACATGAGACTCAGGTTTACCTTCAAGGCTATCCATGTAAGCTTGCAAAAGAGATAGACAAATGGTAAATAATATGTTTAATTATGTATGTTGTGTATCTATGAGTAAGATTTCATTTGGATTGCCTGGGTTTGTTGAAATAGCTTGCACAACAATTATGTGTTGAATTGGTTTATACATCTTTAAACCTGTAACCTGTAAAGTATTTTGGGAAGCTACCTGTTTGTACTTCTTGTAACAACGCTGAATTACGGCTGCAGCTACTTCCTGTTGCTCTCGCAGGGGCCGCCCCTGTGGGCAGAGTAAGTGCAGAGGTCAGAGGTCAGGGCATGAACAGTGTTGTGCCACAAAGAGACAGGCTGGGGTCTTCTCTGAACAGAGACTGAGGAGTGGCTCCGCGCCACTGGAATCTCTCAGTATTTGACAAACCAGACGACTGTAAACAACAGGAACATTGGTCACACATGTAAGTTCAAAGTATCCCAAAAGGGGGAACTCAGGAGGACTGGGCAAAACCAAGCAGTACGAGGCTCCATACACCTGAGAGAGAGACAGCAGAGGAACAGAAGCTTATAGTGTCTACATGGAGCATGGGACAGGGGACAATGCAGTAGTTTGTCTAAGCCAGGCCATGCTCTGCTCAAGCCATCTTTCCCATGCTGAAACCACAGGGACACTTAAGACTGGAGTGTGTACTGTCAAACAACTAGAGGCCAAAGAAAGAAAAAGACACACAGGTGAAGGCTAAGTACCACCACACAGATAATCCACAGCAGAGGACACGAGGAGCTAACACCAGTGAAGAGCGCAGCCGTCTGCAGCGGCTCACTGCAGGCCTGTACCTTGTACTTGCGGAAGGCAGTTTGGACGAGACGTGCAGCCTCGTACAGCTCTCTCTGCTCGGGGTCAGACAGAGTCAGCTGGGCCAGCTCTCGCTCCACTTTGCTGTTGGAGGCACTGATAAACTCGCTCCAGTCGGCCGGCGATGGCAGTGTGGCCTTCTCCACGGAGCCCTCCTGCACCGGGGAGCCCCCAGGACTGTGGCTGGGGTTTGATGTCGGGGTCAAGGGCTCATTGTACAGGTTTCTATGAGAGGGTTTGGTTCATGTTAGAACTAAATGAAACAAAACAAATGCATATTCCTATAATAGTTTAGAGTTATAGAGGTTGTATTAAATTACCGTAAGTGTATGATGCTGGGGAGCTGCTCCACATCCCCTAAATAGTTGGCTAGCCAGTTCATGGTGTTGGTGACCCCTGAGGAGTCCAAGGGAGCAGAGTCACTGGAGCTGAAGTTCTCCCTCTTTATTCTCTCTGGAGTGGCTTCAATGATCTGCTCTGCTAGAGTCATCATGTTTACCTGAGGAACAAAAGACAATCAGGATCCCAGAACCAAGACCTGGATTCAACGGTTTGTGGAAAAAACAAAGAATACCCACACCACACACAAGTATGTGCCTCAGGAGAAATACAGATATTACAAGCTGACTCTCCAGTGAAAGTATAAACTATTTGTGTGAGATGTTCTGCATGCTTCATGACAACGTACAGTAAGAAAAGTGGGAAGGACGGGTAACAAGACAAAATACATACAATACAAGGGCGGGCTGTTAAACTATTGTATTGTAAAACCATTACAGTTGGTATATTGCAGAGACTGAAAACAGAATTTAACATCAAAGATTTTAATAAACAATTCAAGTTTAGAGTCTGACAAGACTTGGAAATGGAAATTTATGAAAAGCTATTGGAAAAAAGAACAACTGCATTGAGCAACGCTTCACTAGTGTGGGACATCTATCCCACACTGGATATACTGAAGCAGCTTACTTTGCCCTTACGATTGGGTACTGTATATCATATATTCATTTAAATGTTGAGTATGTGTATGCTTACTTACTTACTATGTGAGTATTAAATGTTTGTGTAAAATACACTTCTGAGTCTGTTCATATGTCATCCAGCATACTGGCACAGCTGTAAAAACATTTAATTGAGCTATAAAAGAAATAAAAACAATTTAAAATCATTTGATATTTTATTGCTTCAGCGGAAATCAAGATGCCCAAGATTTCTTCCAATCCTTGCCAATAGGGAGGGTAATAATATTGACAATAGCATTGTGGTATTCCAGCAGGACTTCATCTCACTGAAAAAGTAAATAAATAAATCCCTTGGACTTTGAAGTGGATCAATAGTGAGTTTATTATGCAGTGATGGTCATCGACAGTGCTAGAAGCAGTGCACACATAAAAGATGAGGCTGAAGCCGTGAAGGCCACCAGGCCTATTTGAATAAAACTAGTGCTTTTGTTTGTCACTCGACATTGAGCAATGCATCACATGCATCTCAATTTAATCAATTTAATTACTGTATTTATTAAACATTTACCTGCAAGTCATCCATCTGTGTGAGACAATCCTGGTTTTCCAAATCCTCTCTGTATGACAGCAGTTCGGCATCAGCCATTTCTTTGTCGGCCATGACCAACATTCCGAGTTGCTCACGCTGGCGCAGGCGGCTCGCAAGCTTCTCTTTACCCATGCTGCTGCCTGCACTGTTGCCCTGCCCCTTCCTGCCTGAAAAGCCCTCTCGAGAGGTCCATCGGCCGGTGCCTCCTGACAGACTTTTGTCTGAGCTCAAGCCATCTGAGGGGAGGCTCTTGGGACTGGAGGACAACTTGTGGAGCTGCTGCTGCTCCAGGCTCAGAGGAACAGACATGGCCTTGTCCGGTCGGCCTTGAAACAGTTCAGGATTTGGTTTGTGTTTTTTAGCTTGAGGCAGATCTTTTTGGGCCTCACTGCTGTAGTAGCTGGATGGCTCAGACCGAGGTCTTCTCAAGTCTGCAGAAGAAAATGTGACAATGTCAGCTTTATGATTGCTAATGATAATCATGTTCATGACTTTTAAGAACACACAAACATGTGCTTGCCTGGGTTAAGGCTGGTGTTGGATGAAGAGGTTGTTGTGGTGGAAGCACCTCCTTTCTTGCTGGTGTGTGTGGTGAGGCTGTCGTTTGGCCAGTTAGACATCCAGCTGCCTGACGTGGGGGTGTCTGAGGCCTGGGAGAAGGAGACACGGTTTGGGGGCAGAGGGGCGGCTGGCTGCTGCTCTTCTCTCTGCAGCTGCTCCAGACACTCGGCTAATTTAGTGTGGCCCCGAGAGCGGGCAATCGACAGGGGCAGGCGGCCCAGAGAGTCAGGGATCGCCAAAGCTCGTCTGTCCCATTTATACAAGACCACAGCTGCCTCCAGGTGGCCCAGAGCACATGCCCACATCTATAAAACACACACAAACAGGTGGAGACAATGCAGTGAAACATGCTGCAGCAGCTTCACCATTTAGGGACCACATGTGTCTGGACTCACCAGTGGTGTGCAAGAGAAGTGGTCCACATTAAGAGGGTCAACCTCTAATTCCAGATCAATGCTGTCTGCATGTTTGGTCCTGGAAACACAGACAGAACTTATGAGTGTGGAACATAAAGATTCAAGCAGAAAAGAAAATGTTGGTCGACCAGTGATTAGTCAATAATATAACAGTAAAAACTTTGAGGACTCATTCCCTTTGTTACATACAAGCTGACTCAATGATAATTGAGTGTGATAGATTATCAGGGAAAATTACAATCTGACATATTTTGATAAACCATATCCAGAATATAGCACCCACAGCTGAAATGCTGCCTCTGATCCAGGACCAGACTCGGTCTTAACCAGGTCTCAGGGGGATCGACTGAGCACACACAGATGCATGCACGGGGACACGGGCTGACGCGCAGACAGACACGTGCATACTGTGAGGACATTGGTGATTGACATGATTTTTATTACAGCTCTCAGCCACGACGCTGATGCGTATGTCACTGCTCTCACCAGTGGGAACAAGACAAGAGCCCGGCCGCATCATCAGACTTTATAGTCGCTTTATAGTCATTTTTTCCTACACATGCTATAGCGGAGACAGAAACATGTCTGTTTTCATGCTTTTCCATCACTGTATGCATGCTCTTTGTCCATGTACTGTATTAAACGTAGGAAGGACACATATTGACAGTGATTCTTGCGTCTGACCAAACCAGCCCACAGAGAAAAAAAACGATTATCTGACAGTTTTCTGGGCAGTTCTATCTCTCTACACTTCATCATAAACTTTCCAGAGCTTCACTGCGCCTCGCTCTCATCCAGACACCAATTGAGATGCATTGAGATTTTCACAAAATATTTTAAAAAATGGCTTACAATATTAATAACAAATAAATGGTTTATTTTCTTTAATTGTTTTGCAAATAATGAATTTTAATTTGTTGTTGGTGGTCGATCAAGGAAAATCTAGGACGACCATGACATTGTAAGTGACCAAAGGTGGCAGCCCTCATTGTTGTTTTGTTCTCACCTCCACTTGATGAGAGTTTGAATGAGAGTGGCGTAACCCTGGCCAGCGGCCAGGTGCAGAAGTGTCATGCCTCGGAACGTCTTGGAGTGGATTAAATGTTTGGATTTGGCCCAACACGCTCTGCTCATCATCTTCTCACAAACCACCACCACACGACTTTCAAATGAACTGCTGGGCTGCGCTTGACTCGACATGCACTGAAACATAAATACAGAGGTCACTTGACTAAGACTCACATTACTGCACAGTTACACTTGCTCATTTTGGTTCCTCTGATTGTATCTAGGGTGATGTGAATAATTAGCATATCTGTGCTCATAGTAGTCAAAACACTTTATACCTGGACATGACTGCTGTTGCCCCCTCCAGTCCCTGGTCCACTTGCGCTCCCAGTGCCCCCGGCCCCTCCACTCCCTGTGCCACTTTGCTGCTGGTGACTGGCCATCTCAGCCATCCGCCTCTCCATCTGCTCCAATCGCTCCAGGATAGACATTCTGAACTGGTTATCTAAATGGAAAAAGGACTTGTTATTGCTGAGTGCAATATAATGCATAACTTGGCTTTTACCAACAGAAACAAGAACACAAAGTCTTGCTGATAAACATCACAATGCATTAGAAGTTCTTGTGGCTTTTGCTGAGAGATTGCTGTTGTGGAAGAAAACATGCTGTAAACCTCAAAGATGTGGGTATGTTCACTTATTGCTTTCAGCAAACAACCTTGATTGTTATTCCTTTTTCAAAGCTGTTTTGTGATGTCTAACAAAAGTAAAGAGACTATAGCCAGTGCAAAAAGACACACTTTCCTTCTGTGCACCAGTAGAAGAGTGTAGAAGTGGGCCCTTTCCAGCTGATTATTAAGTATGTTCCAAAATGGTTTCGCCCAAACCCAGCTCAATCAGACTGTATTGTACTATAGTAACGGTACATATATGACACTATAAGATCAATCACAGCTTACACAAGGCCATGAAATCTGCTCTTTGTGGAGAAGAAGATAGATGGAGGTATGCTGCTGTGAGAGTTCCAGTTAGAGGGAAGTGAAGGGTCTTGGCATTGTTCCGTACAGAAACTATACTAAATAAGCTGTATTAGATGTTATTGGCCCATCACAGCCCATGTGCACATTTCAGGTGATTTAGGTTTAGGTTTAGGGAAATTTAGGGAACATTTGTATAAATTAAATAAAAAGTTTCACAGAAAATTACATCAAATATAATGGCAATATGAGCAGATTTATAGCACAGACAAACATACAAACACACAGCCACAGCAGAAGCAGCAAAGCCCACTGCAGCATGGAGTACAGAAGACTGCATTAGCATTCCCCATTTAGGCACTATGAGGCCGTTTCTGTGGCAACCTGCTGCTGAGCGGTAACTAGGCGACAGGAACATGGCTGTGTGTACGGTCGCGTGTGATTGGCTTATTGATGAAGGGGAGGGGGGTGCTGCCAAAAAAAAAGGTGAAGGGAAAAAAAAGAAAATTTAGTTTATAAATCCAAAGTGTGCTAAATGTACTAGGACTGCTGTTGTTTCTAGTGTGTTGATATGAGTGACGTGTTCTCAGTATGAAGCCGGCACAGCATGACCTGATGACATTTATGCTTCGGTGTCCTAGGAGTCACAAATCACTGAACTATAGAGAGGAACATGCTATAGACTTTGTATAAGGAAGGTTAAAGGCAGGCCATCATTGAGCAGTGTGAAGTCACTGGCGGAATATTTTCAGCTTTTATAAAGAACACTTGGTTTGAACAATGGACGTTCAAGACCACCATTAACTTTGATTTGACTTTAAATATCAAATTGAACCTATAGTATAGATACAATGTGTTTCTGGGTCTGCTCCATGTGCAGCTGAGACAAAGTGAAAGCCTTCTACTGCATAATGTCTGTCTGTGGGGCAGAGCAGAAGACAGGTCCCACCATACTGCTCTGGTCCCACAGTCCAACAGGCTGGAGCCACAGACTGGGACAGACTGGGCCAGACTGGGCCAGACTGGGAGAGACTGGGACAGAGCAGATAGTTAGCGGGAGGCTGATATGTCTTTGTCCAGACTCAATGCTGCAGTGCGCTGCAGTGCAGATGATGTCATCTCCACCTGCTGCCTGCTGCTCCAAATGTAATGCACGTTCACTGCAGAGGGAGGAGAGGGAGGAGAGGGAGGAGAGGGAGGAGAGGGAGGAGAGGGAGGAGAGGGAGGAGAGGGAGGAGAGGGAGGAGAGGGGCGGGACAGGGAAGATGAGCAGCCAAACACCACTGCGTCAACAACATGACGCGTTCAGGCCACACCCACTCCCTGGTTTACTCCCTTGTGACGGCGAGTGGCTCAGACGTGGACAGAAGCACATGCTTAAGACAGGCTCAGCACATCACAGAGCTGAAGGCTCATAATGACAAAAGACCATTTGTCTTTAACCTTTTATTAATTGTGAAATACTTTGAGATTGATCCTTATTGACTAAAAATAATACAAAGTTCACTGAACAATCCAGTACAAATCTGCATTGTTTGGGAGCTTCTTGGGATTTGGTTTGCATAATTGGATGCAATGGTTGAAGTTGTATTTCATAAACAAGCATATTAAGAGTTAAAAATATATTAGCTTCATTTTTAACCCAATCATATTCCAGAACAAAACAGGAACAATTAATAATAGCACAATTCAATAATACAAAAGGTTAAATAAACTCTGCGAGCCTGGGTTATAAGGTTATACCATGGTTTAATATCAAGGTTTAAGTAAGTTGAACACAGATGTCCCTTTTAAAAGTGTCATGTCCTACCAGAGGAACACCTGTAGAATGTTACTGCTGTTGTTTTCATGTAATATATCGGAGCTGATCTGACCATCTTAGCTGACAGGTGCTAGGACAGGCTGAAATACTGGCGGACTGGGAGAGGAAGGACAAGCTTGTTTATTGACGCGCAGCAGGGCACAGTGGGGGCGAGAAGAGCCCGTGTGAGAGATCATGGTGAGGCAGAGACTGAGGATACTGAGAGGGGAATGGACAATGACAATGGAGCTAGAGTGAGGAGAAAGGACCCGTCTCCAAACAGGTGGAAGAAGTCCAAGTAAAAAGGAGTTAGTGGCAGTAAAGGGCAACACATCTCTCCTCTCTCACAAATGTCACTAAGGAGGCAAAAGGAGAACTTTTATTGGAGACCAGAAACATGGAGCTGTGCCAGAATGTATTTTTACCCTCATTGGACTAGTCAAAGACTCCTATTATCCCTAATAGCCTGGATACTGGCACTCTATAAAGTATCCAAGGTGCCAAGATAACTGCTGCATAACATTTGAAACATGATTATTCAAGTTTTACTGTTGTAAGCCCACACAGGTCACCTCTGAGCACCAGGTTTGAACCCATTCATTTAATCAATCAGCCTGACATCTTTATCTCTCCTCCATCAGCCCCTCACATGTGGCCAGTCCAGGGGCGTGAGGCCGCCCCCTTTGGCTGGGCTGAGTGACAGGAGCTGCTATTACCACTGCAGGCCATCTGCAGACACAGGGGCACAGCTCGGCTACATCACCATCGATATACTTCAGGCACTGGTGCTTCACAGTGGGCTCAGACTAACACCACTGTTTCTATAAGTATTAGAGAAACCAAGTCAAATCAGCAACATAGCTCAGCAACATGTCGGAATCACCACATTTTTCCTCTTATCACTTATATGTATATTATGTAACATGTATATAACATTTTTGACAAATAATTTCTCTAAATAAACAACAAAAACACAGAATTGTAATCATTGTAATTAAACAAAAACATAGAGCAAGAACATCTACAGCCAGAGCAATGCCAGAGGATGTGCTATGTTGTCTATAATAAGATTGAAGTAAATCAAAACTTTGAGCACTTTGAAGGAGTGACCACACACTTCATATTCACCTCAGGATCACATTGACAAGTAGGCGTACTTCTCAAAGGGTCTTTACTCTGAACTGTTTACCCCCTCAAAAAAGAGATGGGGCAATACTTAAATGAATGAACAAATGAAATCCAATGATACATTTTAAGTTGCCTAAACAACAAACCATATACTACTACCATTGGGGCGACAGTGGCTCAGTCGGTAGAGCATTGGCCTTTGAGCCTGAAGGTCGTGTGTTCGAGCCCACCATGAGACCTTCTCAGACTTTCACTGATGACTGCTGTCGTTGTGACCTTGGGCAAGACACTTAACACCACTTTGCTTGAAGCCCCCGCTGAAAGATCAAGGCTATGCCATAGAGCGGCCATCCTCCTGTGGACCCACCACCTGCAGGAGGATCAGTGAGGGGCTGGTGTACTGGGTGTACTGGATGGCATCTCTGGCCAACCCCCCAACCCAGAAATGGATTAAGGGGTAGAAAATGGATGGATGGATGGATGCATGAAAAGCATCCAGAGATAAATGCTCCTAGAGATTGTAGTCAAAAATAGAGAATGTGTGAGCACATCTTTTCCTCAAAACAATCTAAAAGAGTCTGCGGCTGAATCTGTGCAGGCAGTAGATTCAAAGAGGATCAGACTTTTATTGGCTCTGCAAGCAGAAGCCCACACAGGTGATGTGCTTTAACCTGCTAGCAAGGGGCCAGCTCTACAGGTCAAGACAGATACAGGCCAGGAGCTGAAGAGACTGTCACTGAGGCTGAGAAGCAAAGACCCTTCTGTCAGAATGATACGGTGGAGCATTCCCTTCTAGGAGCCCACAGGAAGTTTAATAGTGAGCCTCCATGAAGAAATGCCATCATTAGCTCTAATATCTAAACAACACAAAAGTCAAACTTTTACTCCACACTCGCAGACAAAGCATTGAGCACTGCATATGAGAACAAAACCATCACACAGACTCCAGTTAAAGCAATAGATTGTTATATGTGTTGTATGGACTTGGGACAGATCGTAAGAGTGCTATAGCAGAAAACAGAGCGAAGCAACAGGTCGTTAAACGTATAGCACAACTCCGCAGTTAACACCGCGTTGAACAAACAGAAGCCTCTCGCTACACACTGAAAGTTGCTTTCCACTCAGCAGTGGTGCTGAACTTGTCTGCTATTGGTTGCTTTCATTATCACACATGCTCTATGTATATTTGATCGGAGTGCTTGTATTGTGCACACAACAAGCGTAACCTGAAGTGTCAACGAGACGACGATGGCCACGGTCGCCTGGGGCAGCACTCAGGGATGCGACACTATTTCAATGCAGTGACGATAGTACCCGGTGACCCCAAAGGTGATGTTTAATGACATGTGTGACAGTACACAGGACAAATATTAAAGAAACACAGACATTTCAAAGCACTTGTTTGTACGCGCACTGAGTCTGACGCATGCTTTACCACTGTGTCGTTTTACTGCAGCGCACGTGTTACAGCACACATCCTTCTTTGTCAACTTTGTGTAGTACGGAACTGATGATCAGGAAAAACTATTCTCGTTACCGAAAAAGAACCGTACACGTGAAAAGAAAAGTCGTGAGTCACGAGTTCACATCTTCAACTCGTGCTGCAGTGAAGCGCAATAACACAAAGTTGAGTCTTGGTAAGAGCACAGGGGAAGTCTAGAGGAGCACTCGTATGGGATACATGCGGGAGCAAACTTCTCAAACACAATAGAAACAGTCCAACACAAGACAACACACTCACACCCAGCAGCGAGCGCAGCTACCTTCCACTTTACTCTCCATGGGTCAAGGCTGCCCTTTGTCTCTACGCAGCGCAGCAGTGTTCCTCTGGCATCCTGACCCACACTCCAACACACTGCGGCGGCGCCACTTGGAGAAGAAAAGTCAACCCTCGCCGTAGACTGAACACCAAACCAACAAAGTGAAGAGGAGAGCGGCGTGCGGAAAGACAGGGAGCGCACTACTCCTCTCGCAGCAGCCCCTCCTCTGCTTGACTTGATTCAACTCACACAGACGGGCATTTTCCAGTGTTCTTAGTGAGGGCTGCTTCCAGTCTGCAGCAAAAAGCCAAATGCCGCTGCTGCTACGAGCCTTTGCGCACGTGCCACCGGTAAACAGTCGCACTAATTTCCGTTTTGCCGTATCCTCCTCCTCCTCCTCCTCCTCCAGCCTTGGTCGCGTTATCCTGCTCTTTTATCACTTCACACTGAACTCGCCTCACACACTCAAACGGGACTACAGGCTTCAACTGGTGGCAATGCCGCGTGTGGCGGCTGTGCGCGCTCTGGCTTTTTACAGTCTTTTAAAAGTCCACGTCTCAGTCAAACCACTGTCTGTGCACAGTGTTAATGGCTGTTGACCATACTTAGGCAAACACGCCCACTGTTCGTGCCTGCATTGTGTGTGTGCAGTCTGCCGCGTGTTACGCCACTGTAGTAATAGACTACAGGCAACCCAGACATTGTTTTTCCAAGACATGGTCGCAATGGCGCAATACATCTTTTATGAGTGCTTCCACAGGACATTCTGAGTGTTTCGCTGTAAGATTGTTCAAACGAAGCTTCTAGGGGCGAATGAGAGAGTTGTGAGCCTCTTATATCTCCTCTGTGTTGCCCATGGCTCCGTACCTGCAGTGCTGCAGAGAAAAAGCGCCCCTTCCCCCACTCTGCATTATGACAAATCAAGGCAGGCAGGCAGCTGTTCCATTAGCACATTATAGCTCAAAGAGTCCAGCGTGCTACAAGTAACTCTAAGATCTGGATCTGTAGCATATACATTACCACTGCAGAGGAGGAGTGAAATATGCTCGGTATGTCAACAGTCTATCACTTTAGCGAGTGAAAGGGTTAACGAAGTCTGCACTCGCACAGTCGCGTTAGGTGAGCGCGGGATCGTGTCACTCTATTTGGGATACAGCCATCAATTTTCCATTATATGTGGGGTGCTTCTTGTCTTTGCACGCCTAATTACACCTGTCCTACTTGTGAGAAGTTCCCCTGATTCCAGAAACATTTAATTGTCTTCCCACAAACATCAAAATAACGACATTTCCCCAAACAAATATCCTTTCCCAGTCTGTGTGACCAACTCAGCTCACTGTAGCTGTCCACAAGACTGGTGCTGAACGCAGGGGTCGGAACAACGCAGCAGCTGTTTGTAAACACATACATTACGCCATAACTCACATAGTCCATCAACTATGATGCAGAAACAGCTCTGATTCAAGTCGAACATGTTTGTGCTCAATTACACAGGACAGTTGAAGTTTAGGGCAAAAACATAGCCATATGAAGAAAGCAAAGGGTTAAAAAAGTAAGGTAATAGGTTGGGCTGTTTCCCTGAGACAAGCAGCTCCTCCTTAACTGCTTCTCTGAATGGGCCAGTGAGACACATGGGCATGAATGAAGACTGCATCCTGGTTGTTCTTCCAGCTCTGGATTACTCACTCCCACTCCCTCAAGGGCCGTCTGCAATGCAGCTGTCCTGTGAGCCGCTACTTCACTGTGCCCTACTTTATCCTGTCAGAGCACTGCAGCAGGCTACAGCAGCACACACACCAAACAAACTCATGGCAGCAGTACACACAAGGACCACACAGTTCAACTGGCATACACACAATGACATTAACAGATACAAACTACATACTTTTTCACTGTTTATTTATTTATTATGTATATATGGTAACTGGTAAGCATATGCATCCATGATATCAGTATTTCAAACATGTATCACATGTGATCTTGAAAAGCTTGTCAGATGTATATAATTGAGAGCGTGTAGTGGCCTTACCATCCAGGGAGAGCCAGTCGTGCTGTGAGGATGGCAGTGAAGGTAGTGCTCGGGCCTTATACTCGAACACCACAGAGTTGGAGATGATCTGGTTACTAACGGCCACCTGTAGTGTCACCAGTCCTGTGTCATGAGCTGTGAGGAGTCACAAGTGAACAAACAATACATGACATTAGTTCCTTCATGAGAGGATTTGATTGATACTTGAGGGCAGCTCCACTACCTGGGCAGTAGCAGCGCAGGACTCCCGGCTGGATGAGAGAAGCAGGGACTGAGATCTGATCAAACAGACAGCTGTAGTTTGAGCTGGCCTCCTGCCAAGGTCCAGTGATGAGCACCTTTACCCCGCCCTGTTAACCACAATACAATGACATTTAATCACACATGACCTCCCAAGTCTGCTCAAAGTCTCACAAATATGGCTGGCATTGGTCTGCCATCTACTGTTCAAAATCACGAGTTACAACAAGAAGCTAAAGAACTAAGATATTAAAGGTCTCTGACACCATCAAGTGGTGGAACAGTGTAATACAACATAATAAAATTTTGGAGTTCAGCTTGAGACAGAAAAACAGAAAAAAATCTATATACAGAACTCGAGTAAATAGTTTCAATAGACAACTATTTAACTAAATAAAAATAAATCTATTTAGATCTATATATATCTTCTTAATTTATAAATTATTCTGATCTTATTCTCACAAATAACTAATAAAAAATCCCCAAAGATTATCAAAAGTTGTTCATGTTTCTTGCATGTTTTTCCTCAAGGCCTTGTGCGTTGTGTCACTTTACATTCACTCTTAAGATCGTGATTCTCAAAGATCCTAAAACTGAACCAATTATTGTTTGATTTATTGAGGAAAAAAAAATTAAAAAAAAAAACTTCCCTAGTTAATTATCTTCCAATTATCTTCAAATGATATAAATGGTTCACCTGCTGTATCAGAAATACAATTGTAATGTATTTTTCAATATATTTTTGAAAGTCTGGTTAAAGAGTGGGTGGTCAAACTCTTTTATCCAACAGTTTAAGTTGATATACAATACTTACTTTAAGTTCATAACAATTCTAACAATAATACTGAGATACAGGGATCATTTAGTTCACATGAACCCATTGTTTAATTGTTCTGTTCAGAATATATATAGTAGAAAATGTAGAAAATAAATTATATTATCACAGTTTACATACATTTATCAACAGTTTATGAAGAGGATAGTTCTTGAGAATGGAACATTTTGTTCTGTTCCAGCAAATAAATCAACTATGTAATTGGAAACCAGTATGTACTTGGAAACAGAGATGTGCATACTCTGAAAGGTTATATTGCTGTTATGTAATCCACATTATTTTGATTTTATTTGACTTTTATTTTATTATTTATTATTTATATTTATTATTTTATATGCGACTATCTATATAACCACAGCAACATTCAGAAGACACCACGACAGGGTTGGTTCAAACAGAAGAAGAGGACTGGATAAATGTAAGCTTTTTCTTTACTTCGTCCATTTAGAACATAAACATAAATTTAACAGGAATGTTAAATATTATAATTGTCTGACAGCACTAATACAAATACAAGTATACATATATATACAGTATATATATGGACACATTTTCTCATTCAATGAGTTTCTTTTCATGACTATTGACTGTAGATTCACACCAGGCTGGGTAAGGGCTTTTTGACCAATAAGGAGAGTGATGATATTTTGAGTCCTTTGCTTTTAACTTTGTACACTCACGATTGTGTGTCCTCCTCTGACTCAAACTTGATCATCAAATATGCTGATGACACCACCATCATCGGTCTCATCAGTAACAATGATGAATCCTCTTATAGAGCAGAGATACAAAATGTGGTTCAGTGGAGTAAAACTAACAACCTCCAGTTGAACGCATCCAAAACATGTGAACTGGTCTACGACTTCAGTCGCAATAGTTCTCATCTGCCTCCTCTACGATCTGCACTCCCAGGTGCAGATCGTAGAGGAGTGCATGTTTCTGGGGTTAACTCTGTCTAACGACCTGAAATGGGTTAAAAACACTGACCGAGTTGTTAAGAAAGCTTGTCAGCGTCTCTACTTTCTGCGTAAACTTAGAGAATTTACCTCTAACTCTAAGATTCTGCTTAACTTTTATCGCTGCACCATTGAGAGTTTACTTGTTGGTTCTGTGTCTGTGTGGTTTGGAAACATCACAGATAAAGAAAAGAGAGCTTTAAACAAGGTGCTCCGCTCTGCAAAGAGGACCGTGGGCTGTGAGCTTCCTGTTCTGCAGGTCTTTATAAATCCAGACTTTTAAACAGAGCTCTTAAGATTGTCAATGACTCTTCTGGCCACCCTGGGAAAGCCATGTTCCAGCTTCTTCCCTCTGGCAAAAGATATCGCTCTCTGAGATGCAGGACATCTCGTTACGCTAAAAGTTTTTATCCACAAGCTGTTATCAGTGTGAACAGAGCACTTTAATGATTTGCACTTGTTTTGAAACTGTTTGAGTCGATCGATTTCACAGTGACATTTGTTTACTGTTTTATTTGTTTTATTTTTGTTTTTTAATATTGTTTTATGTCTGTATTTGTCTGTGCACACTGGAGACTTTTGCTAATGTATTCCAATGTGGTGTTTTTACTGCAAATGGCAAATAAACTGAATCTGAATCTGATGGGTGCTGGGCCAGATGACCTGGCCTCCACAGCCACCAGACCTGAACCCAGTCCAGATAGTTTTGGGGTGAGCTGAACCACAGAGTGAAGGCCAAAGGGCCAACAAGTGCTAAGCATCTCTGGGAACTCCTTCAAGACTGTTGGAAGACCATTTCAGGTCAATAACTCTAGAACCCCATCAAGAGAATGCAAAGAGTGTGTGAAGCAGTGATCAGAGCAAAATACACATTTTAAGTTGCTTTCATACTTTTTTATAAGTACGTATATAACTTCACATGAGTTAATTGATAGTTTTGATGCCTTCAGTGTGAATCTAGAATTTTCATGATCATGAAAATAAAAAGCATAACGAGACAAAATGTGTCTTCAGTTCCTGGGATATTTTTTCAAGTGACTGTAGTCCTTATACAGGTCAGCACCTTACAGCTTTTTCATCGACATTTTGTTATGTCATGGGTAGTTATGCCATAAAACTTAAAAAAAGAGAAAACATTCAGATAATATTCCACCCCCCACGTCACGTACCTCAGGGTAAGACCACTCTGGAGAGTAGTCGGTGACCATAAAGAGCCGTCCAGTGGCCTGGAGCATTCCCAGAGTGCCCTGGGCCACAGCTGCATTCACCACCTCCGCTACATTCATATAGGACAGTGAACCTGCCTCTCCAGTTGCGCCTCCGCCTCCTGCCCCACCACTCAGTGACTGGGGACTGCAGCATGGCTGAAGGCAGAGGTCTGAGGGGCTATACCCAGTGCCCCGGGTTTCTCCATCCTCCTGGCCTTGAGGGGGCGCTCCATTTGTTGTATTTTGAGTTTCTGCGCATTGTGAGGTTACGAGCTGGTGAGCGTAAAGTGCTCCTCCTCCTGCTATAGCAGTTCCACTGCCATCCACCGAGATAAAGTCATTAATGAGGTCAGAGAACTGATTCCCAAAAGAGATGTCAAAGTGATCCAAGTTGATCTCCATGCCTGGTCCTCCTGCTCCTCCGTTGCTGGTAGCTGTCAGACTTTGGTGGTTGTACAAACCTTGAACCATGGCTGAACCCTGAAGGAGAGACGGCAGCTGCTGCTGAGAGCGCACACTCCCATCACTGTTGGCGCTTCCATTATGGATGCTCTCTGCTCCTCCTGAGCCATCTGAGGTTTGGTGCAAATAGTGCTCTGTGATGCCCCTGTCCCCATTTCCTGCTCCACAGGCCTGAATGTGATCACCTGCCTTCAATAAACCATCAGTGCCATTTTCCGACGCCCCGGTCTGAGCTGAATTTACATTGTTTTGTTGTTCTAAACCTACTACCTCTTGTTCACTGGTCAAACCAGGGAAGGACCCTTGGTACTGCAGTAGCTGCAGAGAGCCAGCCTGACCCCCTTCCGTGGGAGAACCGCCGTTACAATTGGCCCTGTGCTGGCTTTGGGGGTGGTGGTGGAGGTGACCGTTTCTGCCAGGAGAGTCCGTCTTTACCTGGAGACCCATGTAAGCCGCAGCGTCGTGGTTGTGCTCCATCAGGTGTGTCTTTCGGCCCTGTTGGACATGACTGTTCTGAGAGGGGTCCTGGAGGAAGAAGTTGGGAGATTGGGTCTGGTGCTGCATGTGGGGACTGGTCATGGACTGGCTGTAGCTAACTGCAGCTGCATTGGAAGTGTATTCCTGCTTTGCGTCAATGGCACTGAAGTCCATTTGCTCCAGAGTGGTGCTGGGGCTCAGACCTCCACCAGAAGGCAGCAAAGAACCAGCTGGGGTCAGACCCAGGCCAGTCTGACCTGACCCAGGACCTGATGACACTCCACTGCCACAGTTCACTACTGCCCCCACCTGGTAGCCACTCTCCTTGGCCAGCTGCTGCTCAAAGGATGTGTCTTCTGTCTTGATGTTTTTGACTAAAGCTGAGTTGAAGCTGTAGCTGTTGTCTGACAGAGAAGGGGACTGCTGCAGACCGTTCGTGTTACTGCTGCCGTTTGAAGAACAATTCGAAGAAGAGTTTCCCTCTGTCTTTAAAGCACTTCCCCCGTAGGTCTGCCCCTGTTTGGGGTTGTTAAGAAAGCAGTCTGGGTCAAAGTTCATATTGGTTTCTGGAATTTTGAGGCCACCTGTGTCCAGACTACTGGACAGAACCAGTTCTTCTGACACCCCTGCAGAGGACAATATGGACAGGTTTCCTGCAGCAGAGCCGGGCTCTCCCACTCCTCCCCCGGGGAAGGCAAACTTATGGACCAGGCCCTGGGAGGTGGCATCAGGGCCCATCATGTGGGAGTTGGGGCCACCAGTGGGAGACATGCTGTAGACTGGGTCTCCTGTCACTTCGGACATGAACACACTCTGTGACAGACTGGACATGACCGAGGCCACGTGCCCCATGCCTGTGACCACAGGGCTGTCTGCCAGGTCAGGGTCACTGTTCAGGCCGCTGCTGATGGACACCGGGGAGTTCTGTGTGGTGTCAGGGACCTCCACTTGGTTGGTGGATGACACCTCTGTGCTGTTTTGGTGCAGCAGGACGGGCTTATGCACTTTACCGTTGCGTTTCTCCCTTGTGCTGCCCCCACCTCCTGCTCCAGACACTTTGCCTCCTCCATGGGAGCTGTGCTCAGTTTTGCCCTCAGACACATCATTGTTCTGCACTTCGGAGTGAGCGCTGTATGCGCCAGAGCGAGGGTCCACTTTGGGGGAGATAATCCGGTGTTTGGAGCTGTTGCATTTATGATGTACACTGCTGCCAGCACCTACAGAGAACAAAACACAGCCGAGTCAGTCATCAAAAACTAATATTTGGGGCTACAGATATAAGCCTTTGACTATAATCTGTCCTTGCATCATGTCTTTTCTATTACATGCACTGTCCCAATCAAATGGACCTATAAACAAACACATTCATGATTACATTTTTTTATCAGCATGAAAGCAGAGCGACACCAACAGCACTAATACTATTAAGGTCCGACAAAGATCTTTGCTGATGTTTTCATCTTGATTTTTTAAATGTCTAGAGGATGTATATTTCTATACTTACATTTTTGCTCCAGATTTATACTCCATATTTCAATTATGTCACAGAGGGCCAAGACTATTTTAAAGGCCATGCTGCCTCGCCTGATTCTATTTCCTGATGAAGACATAGGCTTATGTCTAAAGCAGGTTTCATTTAACAGTTAATAAACGTTCTTTTGATCTCTAAACTTTTTGACGCATATTACCTCGCAAGTCACTCATGTCTCCTTTTACAAAACTAATAATACTACACCAAGGGTTCATGTTCTCTGAAATGACTGAGAAGATTAAAAAAACATTCATGTATCAGTCTCAAAAGTCCAACAACATTGTCTTTGGTAAATGCAAAGGAGGGTAAAGCTGTTGACTGAAGAATTCCCTTTTCACAGCTGGGACATGAAATACTTTATTAAATCTCCCTGAATCCCAAATCTACTGGTGGGATACTTTTAAAATACCTATTCACATTTTTGCTAATTCGTGGGTTTGGAGTTCAAACTGGTCCTGAATCATCCTTTGGTCTGACAGAAAAAAGAGGGCTACAGCTTTCACAGGGGTTTTATGGTTACATTTTATCAACTGACTCACAAATAATACAAACAATAGAATATAATGAAGATGGATAGGGTCCAGTACAGGACCAGGTTGGGTTTCACATTAAAGTACTTTAGGCTAAAAAAGCTTTGGAAGGGGCCTGTTCTAGGCCTGGCCTATGAAGATGTTACTGCTTTGCTTGGAATGTACCTCTCTATGACATTAAACAAGTACCTTATTAAGCACAAATATGTATGGTAAAGCAGGAATAACACAGGACAAAAGCAGGACAAAGGCAAGACTAAAGCAAGACAAAAGCAGGACTAAAGCAGGACCAAAGCAGACCTAAAGCAGGAGTAAAGCAGGGCTAAAGCGGGACTAAAGCAGGACTAAAGCAGGATTAAAGCAGGACCAAAGCAGGACCAAAGCAGGACCAAAGCAGAACTAAAGCAGGACTAAAGAAGGACCAAAGCAGAACTAAAGCAGGACTAAAGCAGGAATAAAGCAGTGCTAAGGCAGGACTAAAGGAGAGACTAAAGCAGAACTAAAGTAGCAGAAACGGATTAAAGCAGGTCTAAAGGCGGACTAATTGAGGACTGAAGCGGGACTAATACAGAACGAAAGCAGGGCTAAAGCAGAACTTAAGCAGGTATAAACCAGGGCTAAAGCAAGACTAAAGCAGGATTCAAACAGGAATAAAGGAGGACTAAAAGAGGACTAAAGCATTGCTAAAAGAGAACTAAAGCAGGACTAAAGAAAGGCTAAATCAGCACTAAAGCTGGCGTAAACGAGGTCTAAACCATAAGCATGAGTGCCAGGTTGTGGCAAGTCCGTGCTTTGACAGACACAAGGAACAGCAGAATACACAGATCAAGCCTCATGGACTTTCAATTTTGATAATAGAAAAATAATGCAATGATGGTCAAACGGACCACGTTTTAAAATACAAGGGTTCAGGATCAGGGTCACGCCTCGACCTCTTTCAATTCCTCTCCAGCCAAACACACCTCGCCTCCATGTCCACTCCTCATTACCCAGAAGGCACCCTGAGCCATCCTGAGTCTCCCCCAGCCATCATGAAGCTTCATCCTGTTTCATTGATCAGATATTTTAATATCGTTCTATTGTTGTGGTCCTTGATAGTGAAATAAGTGAATGTGGCGAGAGGTGTGTAAATGGCACTTATTCACACTTTCGCCTCGGGCCGGCCCTGGTGCTCTTCTAATGTGTGCGAGCATACAAAGCACGTACCCAGGGTGCCCGTGCACAGACAGTTGTGAGTGCGGGGAGGGGGCTTGGTTTGGTGACTGTCCAGAATCTGCTGCACAAGTTGCTCCACTGAGAAGCCAGAGCTGCTGTTTCCATTGCTGCAGGTCCACTTGATGCCATGGACTGTTGGACAGGAGAGACAAAAGAAGAGCAAACCAGAGGGTAGCAGAATTATTTACAGCCTGATATTCTAAAAAAAGATTTAAAAAAATCTGGATCCAGTGATGTTCAAAAGTATTCATGGTTTTATTTATGTTTTTATTTTCAACCAAAATAATTAGTCCAGGCTTCGAGCCCTGAGCCCATGTCTCAGCAGATCCAAAGTCATTGGTATATTTGCTTGATTATTTGATAATATCAAATAATAATATGTATAGTGTACATTAATAAACATAAATGTAAATGCACCAGAATCAGCCTCAAGGCTGTTTATCATCTGCTACCCCGGATAGCTGAAAAATATTCAACCTATAAGTAATATTCATTGAACATGAATAGCTCAACGGTACAATACAACAATAGTAAATCACAAAACACTTCTATCATTAAAGAACATTAGCATTCACCACACACAGGTAAGGGGTCAAATTAGAGTTGCTTCGATCAAACGACTACAGAGACCATTCCATTTTCACGTTTTAGTGTAGCAAATATATAACAAAGTCAGATTTTGTTATTTACAGCAACCCCAATTCAAATGTGCCATTTTTTTAATGTTGAAAAGGACTCAAGTAGTAATGTTTTGTAATAACTAGAAATAATAAATGCATTCATGTCTAGTTATAATAAAGCATTAACAAAGAAGTTATTTCACATTCTATCTTAAAATATAATTTATTTAAGAACAGATATTCCACTCATGGGGTTCAGTAGTTCAAACACGTGGTGTTTGTTGCCCTCTGCTGGCTAAAAAGGGAACAAACTAAGTACAATAAAAAACTAAGTTTAGAGAAAAATATATAACACACATATCATGATATACTTCTCATTTTAAAAACGGCAATGATCAAAACTATTCATACTAGTCCCGTTCTGGGTCCAATCTGAGAGTATGAGAAATATAATGAGCATAACAGAGTGCTGGTCTTAAAGTAAGTCTGTTGTTGTTGTAATTTACTGCTTAATAAGAATACGGATAAAATGGTCTGTAAATGATATACAGATATATATAGCTAAAAATATTATACAATGTCCGGTGTTGGGGAGAATACTTAGAACATGTATTTAGTTACAGAATTCTGGAAACCTGCGTTGTCACATTCACTACCAATCTGAGTACTGTATCCTAGATACTTGGACTATAGTATTATAATTCTAAAAATACTGCAGTAGATTAAGAAAACTTGGGGTTTGCTAATTTTCCATGCATTTTTTGTTAGAATATAACATAAGAATATAACATGTACTTTCATAATCATCATTTTTAATTTTTTGAAAATTAACTGTATTCTTAAAACAACCAAAAGAAAAAAGTATTTCAAATACAGTTATTTAAAAAGAGTTATTTTGAAAACATGTACACATGTATTACGTTACTCCCCAACACTGCTAATTCCCCACTTTCTTGTTATTGCTGCTGTAGCGTGCCCCCTAGTGTACATTTGCATGTACTGCTGCTCTCTGCTGAATCTGACCAATATGCGTCTTGTGACTTAGCTCGAGTTTTCTATTTATTTTCCTTATCACATTATTGTGTAATGAAATCAGTTGAATGAGGCTGTATATTGTGTAGAAAGGAACATCACTGTCACTGTTTAATAGTATTATAAAGCTGAAAATAAATGTGATACAAGGTCTTTTCTAATTTAAAAATGCCAGAAATTAAAAAAAACTTATGATTGAAAAATAAATAAATAAAGTTTCAAATGTAAAACATTTCAGAAAGCAATGCTTTTGGTTCTATAGGCTTTGAAAAGTGGAATAATGACTTGGTGAAGTTCCAGTCCGACAGCCCATAGTGACTTGTTTCTGCAGATGACCAAGTCACACAGAGACACAGCCCTGGTGCTATGGAGGCAGAACAATACATTATACAGTCGATAGAATAGACAAAAAACTGAACTTCTACCTTGTAACTCATACCCTGGCAGAATGTACAATTTCTTGGTCATTATTCAGAGAATATAAACCCTCCCGTTTGGGTGAAGGCATTTAATGGCAACAATGTTTCAAATGAGCTTAGTGGAGGGTTGAACCTGCTTTAGTGCGAGGTTGATGGTTCTGTGTCTTTCTTGTGCTGGAAACTCCTCACTCATCACAATGGTCAAAACCCTATTTGTCACAGTTTTCTAAAACAAGCTGGTCGCACACCAGATCCAGTGTTCTCTGTGCACATGTTTTATATTTGAAGTTACAAATATAGACCTTGTTTCTAAAGACATCATTAGCTCACAAAATGTCCAGTTTGCAAACATATAGCCACATTCAAGACCAACCACAAAGCTATAAGTGAGCAGTTCTATTTTTGGATAATACATCTGAGAAAGCCCCAAAGGGCCCTCAAGTGCCTGTGGGCACCAGGTAAGGGAGCACTGTGCACTTTGAAGTCAGTATTATCAGGGTGTTATCTAACCTCATTTACAGCGTTGGGAAGTAACGGAATAAACAGTATGGGGCAAATACCAAGAACTGCGAGTAATCATCAGTTTGAAGACAGAACTTGGTAACTACTGTCCACCGCGTATCTGTTTTTGGCTCAAAAAGCACAATTAAAACTTTATAATCAGCCTAATATGTTCAGCACTTTGTTGTTTTAAAAGTTTAAAAACAACACATAAAAAATAATCACCGGATCAGCTGATAAGCTCTGAACAGATCTTTCATAATCATAATTTTTCAAAATCCCTATGGGAATTTTATTTCCTGGATCAGGAATATTGCAATATTATTCGGCCCCTTTACTTTCAGTGCAGCAAACTCACTCCAGAAGTTCAGTGAGGATCTTTGAATGATCCAATGTTGTCCTAAATGACTGATGATGATAAATAGAATGCACCTGTGTGTAATCAAGGCTCCGTATAAATGCACCTGCTCTTTGATAGTCTCAGGGTTCTGTTTAAAGCACAGAGAGAACCATGAAGACAAAGGAACACACCAGGCAGGTCCGAGATACTGTTGTGGAGAAGTTTAAAGACGGATTTGGATACAAAAAGATTTCCCAAGCTTTAAACATCTCAAGGAGCACTGTGCAAGCAATTATATTGAAATGGAAGGAGTATCAGACCACTGCAAATCTACCAAGACCCGGCCGTCCCTCCAAACTTTCATCTCAAACAAGAAGACTGATCAGAGATGGAGCCAAGAGGCCCATGATCACTCTGGATGAAGTGCAGATAACTACAGCTGAGGTGGGAGAGTCTGTCCATAGGACAACAATCAGTCGTGCACTGCACAAATCTGGCCTTTATGGAAGAGTGGCAACAAGAAAGCCATTTCTCAAAGATATCCATAAAAAGTCCTGTTTAAAGTTTGCCACAAGCCACCTGGGAGACACACCAAACATGTGGAAGAAGGTGCTCTGGTCAGATGAAACCAAAATTGAACTTTTTGGCCACAATGCAAAACGATATGTTTGGCGTAAAAGCAACACAGCTCATCACCCTGAACACACCATCCCCACTGTCAAACATGGTGGTGGCAGCATCATGGTTTGGGCCTGCTTTTCTTCAGCAGGGACAGGGAAGATGGCTAAAATTGATGATGGATGGAGCCAAATACAGGACCATTCTGGAAGAAAACCTGTTGGAGTCTGCAAAAGACCTGAGACTGGGACGGAGATTTATCTTCCAACAGGACAATGATCCAAAACATAAAGCCAAATCTACAATGGAATGGTTCACAAATAGACATATCCAGGAGAATGGCCAAGTCAAAGTCCGGACCTGAATCCAATCGAGAATCATGGAAAGAGCTGAAGACTGCTGTTCACAAACGCTCTCCATCCAACCTCACTGAGCTAGAGCTGTTTTGCAAGGAAGAATGGGCAAGAATTCCAGTCTCTCGATGTGCAAAACTGATAGAGACTTACCCCAAGCGACTTGTAGCTGTAATTGCAGCAAAAGGTGGCGCTACAAAGTATTAGCGCAAGGGGGCCAAATAATATTGCACGCCCCACTTTTCAGTTTTTTATTTGTTAAAAAAGTTTAAATTATCCAATAAATTTAGTTCCACTTCACGATTGTGTCCCACTTGTTGTTGATTCTTGAATTTTGTTTTAATTTTTATATCTTTATGTTTGAAGCCTGAAATGTTGAAAGGTTACTTTCGCAAGGCACTGTACTTAGGCCTAATTTAGGTCTGTCAATTCTATATTAGGTGTTTTTGCTGTGTAAATACATATACAGGGAACAGGAGGGTCAATTGACAAGTTGTTCTGACAAGCCAGCCTGTGTTACTCAGTCTGAAAGAAACAGGCACCCTGGGAATTTTGTCAGTGTGAAAATTCCTATAGATGAATTATGCTTTCAAATATTGTGTTACAGAGCAGTTCATAAATGAGGGAAGCATACAGAAAATGCAACAGGATCAGATCAAATGTGGCCATGCCTGCTCGTCAAAGGCTGATCTCAGACGTTAAGCAGTGTGAGGCCTGTGCAGTCGTCTCTTTGAAGAGAGACCACTGGTAACACCATGTGTCAGTGGGGCAGATGTGGCTCTAAAGCAGGGGTTCCAGCCAGTGGGGGCGGTCCCGGCTCAAAAGTGGCCAAAATAACGTGCGCTGACATGCTTGCAATACCACTCCGGGCCGATGGGGGTGGACCCGGAATAAGAATTAGCCAATGCTAACATATAGCATTAGCTGACCTCTCAAAAACGTCTTTACAGGACGGTCCAAAAGTTGGCTCTTGGCCCAAAGCTCCGTTCCACATGTGTGTCAATACTGACGGGAGTGAATTTTTGGACCAGTCTAGTTTAGTCGCTGTGAATTTTTGAAGTCACTCATTTAAATGAATGGGGCTCGTGCCGGCTGACGCAGATGCATTTATTCACATTTTCCAGCCCCCGCGACCATTTTGAATCACTCCATGAGAGCCCAATTTTTAGCCCATTAGTTAGAACGGCGGAGATAGGCGTCCGTTAATTTATACAGTCTATGGTTCCAACGTGCACTCACTCATCAGCAG